CTGTGAGGAGAAATTTATACAGGGTGGATTTTGTCTTGAATTTGTTTGACTTACTGCAGAGAGGAAATGGCCCGTTAGCAGCTGGACTCGTGTGCAGGAACGTCTTGTGGGCGGGCAGTGAGGACAAACAGGCCCAGAGGGACAGGCTCTGTCCAGAGCTTCTGAGGATGGCAGGGGGGAGGGGAGGGCCGCAGACACTGGGTAACGTACACGCTGCGGAGGCCACACCACACATTCCCGTCCTGACCACTCAGCTTGCTCTGCCGTGCCCAGCGCAACCCTGTCCTACTTTCTAAAGGTTGTCAGCATGACTATCCGCACCTTCCCTCCACCGCCCCTTGGATGTAAGCTCCTGGCAGGCGCCACACATCGTAGGTCCCCGCATCCCGAGAACGAGCGGAGGACAGTGAGCCGGCCGGACGGGAGGCCTCCAGTCCCACCCGTCTAACCCAGTGGTCACGTGCTCGTCCTGCAAAGCCAACTGTCTGAGACGGTCCGAGCTTCAGCAGGAGAGAAGGGTGCCCACGTCTGCACGTGTGTCAGAAACGACAGTGTGGTGGGGGCAGCAACAAGAAGTGTGCTCAGCCTGCCCAGCAGGTCACCCTGTTCTTCCTCCTGGGTTCTCCCCTGTGGGCAGGTGCAGGGTGGCTCCTAAGGCACACACGTGTGTGCATATGATTTAAGGTGCTGTCTTTTTAGTGTGCTGAGTATGAAAGTAAACCATAACTTACTAGGCATTAAGTGGCCACTTAACTGGTACCTCTCAAATCACAAGAATCCAAAATCTGCTACTAGAAAAGTCTGTGATCCCTGAGTAGTAACTTTCCTATCTTCAGGATGCCCAGGGAACTTCTATTTAATAAATGCACACTCAGACCATTAAAATGTTCTGAAAATAAAATTTTCCATGCAAAAAAACAGCCTATGATATGCCAACTGGACAATAAATATCACTTCATTAATTAAATGTGAACTTAGTGTAACCTGAACTGATCACTGAGACAGTCTTCCCTCTCGTTCTTATGAGAGAAAGTGATGAAAAGCACCTGAGCTCTGCGGTGAGGGAACCACGCCCTGGACCCAGCACTCACCGCGCAAAGCCTCCGCCTCTGACCTTAGCGTCTGACGAGGCCCCGACAGGGACGCAGCTTCTCCCTGCCCGCCTCCCGCAGGGCCCACTGCTGCGCCCACTTAGACGGCCATTACCAGCAGCATCTTGTTCATTGTGGCTGCAATGCTGGAGGGCCCTTGGGATAAAAACAAATACCCCTCCTGGCGTTGTAACGGGCGTCCTTCTATATCTGTGGGCTGCTAGTGTCATCAACTGTTGGTGTGTATATACTTGTTTTACTTAAACCTGTCAATAAACTCCACATTTCAACATATAACTGAGGGGAAAATGCCATACAGATGACGAGAAACAGCAGCCTGTTGGTAGAGACAATGAGACGTGATCGCCACTGGGCCCTGCGGCCCCGCCTGGATGCCGGGTTCCTGCCAGAGGACCACCTGCTGTGTGTGGACTGCGTGGCGCCAGCCCTTCGCACCGTCCGGTCCGGAGGCTCCTCCCGCCGCAGGACGGCTCTGCTTCTCTGCTGACACAGGCTGCTGTCTGCGCTGCTACTTGCTAAGCAAAAGGCACAGTGGCCTTGGAGGCCCAGGGCTGTAAGGGTCACCATGAGTGTAACCAAGGAACTAAGAGATCGACGTCGAGGCGGCGGCCCAGACCCCTGGTGGTTACAGGCAAATGCCTGCTGTCTGCCCAGCGTGCAGGAGAGGACACAGCACCCGCAGAGGCCCTGCAAGCCCCCGCACCTCGCATCCCGGACACTGCTACCGCTGCAGAAGGTCCCGCCTGCCGACAGTGATTCTGGCGCTGAATGGAGCAGCTGGGTAAAACAGCAATTTGGTAAGTGAGGCTATCAAAACAGGAGACTGACAGCTATCTGCCTTTCAAAGCCTTATTTTACTGAATGAGACATAGCTCGGAGTGTGAGCATGTAAAATGAGTGTTCTATCAACAAAGCTGTCCAGGCCCCTTGGTCTAGGGTCCTCCGGAAGATTCTGACCCTGGGGTTTATGAAATAGCTGGAGTGCCATCCCCTGGAATAGCTCCATGTGGCAGTGGCTAAGTGGGGTCTTGGATCACCTGCTGGTGGGGCTCCCCCAGGGGACACTGCTCCCCACAACAGAGAAGGCAGGAGAACCCGCCTCAGGAACCAGGTTCTGCAGTGATTTCTTCGAGGGGCTGGGGGGTACCTTCCTTGGACTAGAAATCAAGCGAGACTTGGGGCCCCTGCAGAGCACTGGCAGCCACAGGGCCATGGGAGGTGCCCCATGCCATCCCCTGTGGTCTGAATGTTCCGGGAACGCAGGGCTGCAGGGGCGGCGTCTGAAAGGGAGTCCGCGATCACACTCTGCGAGGAGGCTGGAGCGGGATTCTCACCACAGCAGCACGTAGTGACCTCGCAACACCTTCCACCACCGAGCCTCCCTTAGTAGTTCCAGGCAAATCCCTCAACGTTCATGTCATAGATTATTCTAGAAGGTGCTTACCTGGAGATCAGGATGCGCAGCTTGAATTCTGAATCCAGGAACCAGAAACTGATTATTTATCTCTGAACGGGTATTGCTTTCGGGAACCCACATCCCAATAAGCTTCAGGCGCCAGCCCCATCCCTGCTGAGTGCTGGCCCTGCCTGCTCCTGGTGCTGCCACAGCCCTCGTCCTGCCCATGTGCTGGTTCTCTAAAGAAAGGCATCAGTTTTGATTTGCTCTCCCACTTTAAACAGTGATGCTCTAAGTCAGAATAAAAAGCTCGACACAGTCCCATTGCAAAGCCATTTCAATAATGCTGACTGCTCTTTCAAAATGGGTCTGTTTTGTACCTTAAAAGTCGATTGTTTAAAATACTAGAGATTATTTAAATACCGTTCGTGCACTGGGGGTGGGGGCCCCTCAGCCCGGCCTGTGCCCTCTTGTAGTCTGGGACCCCTCGGTGGACGTCCCCTGAGGGGTCCTTAGCGCTACAGCGGAGGGGGGAGAGGCTCCCGCCACCGCTGCTGTGCTCGCCAGCCCTGAGCCCTGCTTCTGGCTGAGTGGCGCTCCCCCTGTGGGAGCGTAATGACCACCAGGGGGCAGCTGCTGCATTGAGCGTCTGCCCCCTCGTGGTCAGTGCACGTAGCAAGTGGTGTTCCACCGTTTGGTCGATTTGCATATTGGGGTTTTATTATACAAGATGACCCAGTCCAGCCAGCATGGTTCAGTGGTTGAGGTGTCAGTTTCTCTCTCTCAGAGGGCACATGCCCAGGATGCAGGCTCGATCCCCAGTGGGGGCGTGCAGGAGGCAGCCAATCAGTGATTCTCTCTCATCACTGATGTTTCTATCTCTCTCCCTCTCCTTTCCTCTCTGAAATCAACAAAAATATATTAAAAAAATAAAATATGACCCTAAGTAAACTACAATTGGAAGTTTCATTCCAGCAGACGGAGAGCAGCACCTGAGATCTGGTGGGACCCTTGGTGCAATGATGCACATGCAACTCTCCCACACGGATCATCGCACACGGACACCACGACTCCCAACGTAATGCCCCTGCTGCCCAAACAGCATGAGAATCCAAAGAGCATAGTCCACCACCTTTGTCACAGGCCACGGTCAATTACAAATCATTAGTCAACCCCAACAACTCATGATTTCATGCCAACCACACATTTCAAACAGCGCCCAGAGGAACTTGCCAAATTGGTGTGTTCTCCAACTCTCCCCTTTTTACTGCAGAGCTACTGCTTCTACCCTGATCCCGAAACTGCCCTGTTGTCTCTTTAGTGACAATGTTGTCTCTTTAGGCCTGGGATGCTTCATCCACCGAGTGCTCTGTCCCCTAAGCAGGGCGTCTCCACCCCACGCTCTGCATGATCACAGGTGGAACTTTGATTCATGAAATGTGTGTGTACGTGCACATGCAGGTATGTCCGTACACCTCTGTAAACATGAGTGGCAAATCGTCTTCATAAGGGCTGTCGGCCACTGTAAGAAGCTGGACTGTTTCATGAAGTTCAGGTTTCCTGAAATGAACGGCTGTGACTCCAAAGGATCAACAACCGACTCACCCCTGATCTAGACACTCGCTCGCTCGCCCCCTGGCTCACCCCTGATCTAGACACTCGCTCGCCCCCTGGCTCACCCCTGATCTAGACACTCGCTCGCTCGCCCCCTGGCTCACCCCCTGTCCTGGGTCTGAGCGACAACCATCCCGACTCGGTTTCCTGAACGGCTTTAAGCCCGAGGAAGAAGCGTGAGGAAAAAATATTCCCTTCATTCTGAAAGAGGTTTTGGCATTTCTCTGAGGGAAATTACAGAAAACTGGAGACAGAGCAGAGCCACCCTGAACACACTGCCCCAGACATACACACCGCCCTGGAAAGCGGGCCCCCACTGTGTGTCCCCACAGCGCCGGCACTTCAGAGCAGAAACGCTTCTCCGCATGGGCACAGGTGACGGCTCCATTCATTCCTCTGTCCCAACAGGACAGGCACTAAAGAAAGGCCCCGGCAATTGACAGGTGAGACTACTACCCCGTCGCAGCCCCACTGGTCCCACAGCGCCCACCCCAGGAGGCATGTGGGCTGAGCACCCAACAGCCCTATTTTAGCCAATAACAGTGCCACTAGGTAGAGCATCGAGCATTTGACAAATGAGCGACCAGGTGTGGAACGTCACTTTCTGGATACAGTGCTGAGCTCATCCAATGTGTACACTGAGGATCTCAGCCAGCTTTTGTGACCCCCAAGCTGAGTAACGACTTGAGTGGGACAGAATCTAACATCTGATACAGGTCAGAGGAATTCTTTACGACAGAAGTTAGACGGGCAAGTGGCCATTCTTCTCAGCACTGGCAGGAAAGACCTATTTATGGGGCCATCACTAGTGCCACCAACACTAACACCAGGAATTCCCGCTGAGGAATCGGCCCAGGGTTGCTAGGGTTTAAGGTTACCGTTTTCCTCCTCCTCGTCCTCCTCCTCGTCCTCGTCATCCTCCTCGTCCTCCTCGTCCTCCTCCCCGTCCTCATCATCCTCATCCTCTAGTTCCTCCTCCAGTTCCTCCTCCTCCTCGCGGTCCTCCTCCTCGTCCTCCCTCGGCTCGTCCTCATCCTCCGAGTCCTCCTCCTCCTCGTCCTCCTCCTTCTCGTCCGTGTCATCCGACCCGTCGCTCTCATAGCGCTCGTCCACCGAGGAGCTGTCCGCCTTCACCGCAAACGGCTTCCTCTTGGGAGCAGGCTCTTGGGGCTGCTTATCTTGTGTTTTTCTTTTTTTGGCCAAGGGGCAGCCATATACACTGTTGGGGGGGGGGCAGAGAGAGAGAGAGAGAGAGAGAGAGAGAGAGAGAGAGAGAGAGAGAAAGAGACCTGGTTACTGTCTTTGAATAGCAGAGCTTCAGGAGTCCTTGATCAGGGGAGCAAAGTTTAGCACGAGCGCGTCGCACGGAGGCCAGAGGTACAGGCACGCCCGTGCTTGTGCGTATACCACCATCTCACAAGCTGCTGGTGAGATTTTTACCAAGAAACCTGGCTTGGGTTTGTCTGGTTACCATAAACATCAGGTCTGACCTCCCAGCCCCTCAGTACTACCCTCCCATAACAGCCCGAGGTTCCTATGAAACCCAGGGGCTGCACTATGAAGCACTTGCGTGATACCACCCTGTGACCACACACATTCAGTGATGTGCACTGGAAAAGAAGAATTAGTCCACGCGCACTATAAAAACATGTTATGAAACAGCATTGCATGTATTCGGATTTGTATATTCTACAGACATGATGAATCTCTAGACACAGCGACCCACAACCGCACAAGTCTCACTGTGCAGAAGGCCGGCCCCACCCCCAGCACTGCAGAGCGAGCTCGGTGTTATTGGCAGTCATCACGAAACTGTGCTCGAATTGGCCCAAACCTGGGTGAGACCTTTCCAGCAGGGCTCATACCTCTCCTTGCACAAAGGCAGTTTTCCAAAGCTGTTGCTAGTTACAGCTTTCTTCCTGGACACCCATGTCTGTCCTGGGAGAAGCAGGGGAGACAGAGAAGCCAGAGGGCTGTGGGCAGGCTCCATGGTCTAAACCAGCGGTTCTCAACCTGTGGGTCGTGACCCCTTTGGGGGTCGAACGACCCTTTCCCAGGGGTCGCCTAAAACCATCGGAAAACACATATATAATTACATATTGTTTTTGTGATTAATCACTATGCTTGAATTATGTTCAATTTGTAACAATGGAATTGGGGGTCACCACAACATGAGGAACTGTATTAAAGGGTCGCGGCATTAGGAAGGTTGAGAACCACTGGTCTAAACGAAGACATGTGGCCTCCACACTCAGAGCTCTGGGAGGGGATCTTGGCCCCCGAGCTTATGTCTGGACCTGGTATCAGTGACATCTGCATTCGGTCACGCCCGTCCAGCACATGGTCTAGGCACCTCCTCTGGGCGGGCTCTTAGCATCACTGGAGACTCAGAGGCAGAGACCCAAGTCCCCCCTCAGGCACCTGTGCCCGGGGACTCAGACCAGCCAGCACCACTGCTTTCACCCACTCCTCACCGCTCCCCTGGTGCCTGCACGCGGCCGCACGGTGGGCACTCAGCGAACAGTTGTTGGATGAACGAACGACGTGATAAATGTTATGCAAACAGGCACTCTGTCATGAAAACAGGAGCCAGGGAGGCCCCGCCAGGGTGGTGCTGGCAACGGCTTTGAAGGAGACACACACGCTGCGTGGAGAAGAGGCTCTTCCTAAACATCTCACGCAAAACAGAAGCTGCACATGGACATAAGAAGGGAGACAGTTTTAGAAACTAGACTAGAAACCGCTCTGGAGTCAGAGGACGAGGAGGTGGGTGGGTGTGGGGCTGGGAGGTGGGGGCTGGGAGTGAGGCAGGCCAGACCCTGGGGACTGGCTGTGGGACTGCAGACTTCCGTGCAGGGGACAGGGACTATTCGACGTCGCCATCGCACCTGCATGTAAGGACGGCGTGGCAAGGTGCGTGGGCAGCACGAGGTGCGAAGCTGGAGATGGAGAGCAGAATGCAGGCCATGCCACTGGCCTCTGAAATCCCAGAGGCCACCTCTCTTACAAACATACAGTCAAAATAAGAACACCACTTATGACCAGAAAACACTGAAGAAAACAAATACTGGTGTACAAGGTATTTCTCACATGAACTAAACAGAATGCTGAGATTTCTTTTATGTGACTCGTACGTGTTTTGGGGAGCACCTGAGTCCACAACCCCGGGAGACGATCCGGCCTTGAAACACCGGCTCCTCGCAGCCTGCTGCCCTGTGATGCTGAATTACCTCCTGACCACCAGCACTGCAGAGCGAGCTGCACGTCTCAGCCACGCCAGCCGCTCCGCTCACGGACGGGCTGGATGCGAGCGCCTTGTTCAGTGTCCACCCGTGTCTGTCCTAGTGATGAGTCAGTAAGTGTAACAGTGAGTCTGTAGTTTTGCTCCTCCAGGGTCTGCCCATGGCTCTGTGGGTCACAGAGCTTTCGTCACCTCTCCATGGCTTGTATCCTTCTTCTCAGCTCATCAATACCTTGTCTGACGCATCTCCTCTGCATCAAAGCTGCCTGCACCATGTGGTTCGCTAGCACAGGCACCAGGCCCACTCTTCACCCCCATCACCCAGGCGCTGGGAAAGGCGGTCATTGCTGATTCTCTGCTCTTCAGTGATGTTATTCAACGCCCCTCCTGAGCTGGGCAGTGGGATCCTTCTTTAGTGGCACAAATCCAGCTCTGAGTTGGGAGTTCTGCTGCAGTCTTTCCTCACCCACAGACACTTCGCTTCCCCCAGATGTCAAGATGGCCCTCGTGCTGCTCAGGCCTCCCATGGGGGCTGCCACGGGGAGAGCAGGAGCATGAAGACTCCCCTGTGTGTCACCTGCATTTGGTAAATCACTGGATTCAAATGCTCAGCTGCTTGGAAGGAGCTGGTTTCCAACTTCAGAGCCTCTGCTGCTCACAGGCTCTGATGCTCAAGGCTCCTCTGTGTCCATCAGTGTAAACTGTCAATCAAACTGCACACACCTGTTCTGCCCTCTCCGACCCACTCCACCGACTGCCAGTGCCTGGTCCTCCTGTCCAAGTGACAACCACACCCAGGCCCCCAGGACAGACTCCACTGTGTGTGTCAAACAGCACGTGGCTCAGGAGCCTGCTCAGATCTGCATCCGTCCTGGGCTGAGACCAGTGGGTCGGAACATGTCCAAGCAAAGCCTCGGAAGACAATTTGGGAGCATGAGTGGGGAGTGTGGGCCCTCCTAAACCCATGCTCTGTGACCATCACGTCTGCCGATGAGGGGCCAGTGACTGCAGGCGAGCGCTGCCCATGAAGAAGGGGGGTGCCCCGTCCACCGCAGGGGCTGTGTGTGCCACACTCACCCTGTGTGTGGCTGCCCCTCCGTCTCTGCACCCTACACTTCCATGTCCACTCATGACTGCACTGGCTGGATCTCAAGTTCTGCTTTCTCCCTAGTCATTCCTGCTCAGTCTAGAATTCAGGGTCCTCTACCTTTAAGAACTCTGTACTATTCTCCAAGGAAGATATAAAAACGGGCAATAAGCACACGAAAAACAATGTTTTTAAAGGTGCCCACAACCTTGACAACAGACAAAACGAAACAAAACCAAACCCTGCACCATTAGACACTGAGCATCAGTTTTGTCAAGACCTTCTATTGTTGACTTTTTCATGTGTGCACTTTATTCTCAATGAACTGTTTCCTCGTTGGCCCTAGGAGCCCTGCCATAGAAGTAACGACTCAAAATCCCCACATGCCAACACCCCTTCTGGCTGATTTGTTTGTTGGTTGGTTAATCCTCACCCGAGGATATTTTTCCATTGATTTTTTTTTTAAGGGAGAGTGGAAGAGAGAGGGAAAGAGAGAAATATCCATGAGAGAGAAAAACATTGATTAGTTGCCTCCTGCACGTGCCCGACCAGAGCCTAGGCCAGGGAGGAGCCTGCAACCGAGGTACCTGCCCTTGCCCGGAATTGAACCTGGGACTCTTCGGTCCACAGGCTGACACTTTACCCACTGAGCCACACCGGCCAGGCTGGCTGATATTTGACATTGTGGCACGGGCCGACCTGTCTTAGGGTTGGTTCTATCAGCATCTGGCTTTCAACAAAGTGTGTGCTGTCCCCTTTCTGACTAAAGAAGATTCACACCCTGCCATTTCCACATGAGGACGCTGAGCAGGTTACGGTGAAATGACCCAGCAATCCTGGGTCGGAACATGTCCAAGCAAAGCCTCGGAAGACAATTTGGGAGCATGAGTGGGGAGTGTGGGCCCTCCTAAACCCATGCTCTGTGACCATCACGTCTGCCGATGAGGCGCCAGTGACTGCAGGCGAGCGCTGCCCATGAAGAAGGGGGGTGCCCCGTCCACCGCAGGGGCTGTGTGTGCCACACTCACCCTGTGTGTGGCTGCCCCTCCGTCTCTGCACCCTACACTTCCATGTCCACTCATGACTGCACTGGCTGGATCTCAAGTTCTGCTTTCTCCCTAGTCATTCCTGCTCAGTCTAGAATTCAGGGTCCTCTACCTTTAAGAACTCTGTACTATTCTCCAAGGAAGATATAAAAACGGGCAATAAGCACACGAAAAACAATGTTTTTAAAGGTGCCCACAACCTTGACAACAGACAAAACGAAACAAAACCAAACCCTGCACCATTAGACACTGAGCATCAGTTTTGTCAAGACCTTCTATTGTTGACTTTTTCATGTGTGCACTTTATTCTCAATGAACTGTTTCCTCGTTGGCCCTAGGAGCCCTGCCATAGAAGTAACGACTCAAAATCCCCACATGCCAACACCCCTTCTGGCTGATTTGTTTGTTGGTTGGTTAATCCTCACCCGAGGATATTTTTCCATTGATTTTTTTTTTAAGGGAGAGTGGAAGAGAGAGGGAAAGAGAGAAATATCCATGAGAGAGAAAAACATTGATTAGTTGCCTCCTGCACGTGCCCGACCAGAGCCTAGGCCAGGGAGGAGCCTGCAACCGAGGTACCTGCCCTTGCCCGGAATTGAACCTGGGACTCTTCGGTCCACAGGCTGACACTTTACCCACTGAGCCACACCGGCCAGGCTGGCTGATATTTGACATTGTGGCACGGGCCGACCTGTCTATCAGCATCTGGCTTTCAACAAAGTGTGTGCTGTCCCCTTTCTGACTAAAGAAGATTCACACCCTGCCATTTCCACATGAGGACGCTGAGCAGGTTACGGTGAAATGACCCCAGCAATCCACGTCTCGGCAGGAAGACTGGCACATTA